ACAAAGTTTTCTTCATTGATTTCTAATATGTATTCCATTAAAACAACAACAACAAAAAACAAGACTATATCAATTTCAAAATATGACAATTTTTCAAAGCCTAGAATAAACAAAGTACTTATTGAAAGGTAAACTTTAAATTTTGAGAAACGGATTCTAATTATTAAGTTTATTTTTAGACTAATTGCTGATAGTTAAGAGTTATCTGCGCTCAGCTATCCTTTTTGAACTGACAGATAGAGGGAGGACAGCTAATGAACAGTATTCAACCCTAACTCTGGGGCTACTATTGTCTGGTCGAATAATGGAATTTGACCAACATGCAAGGCCACAAAGTGCGGTGCACGTATTTGCGGCAATGTGACGTCAATTCGCCGTCAAGACAGGCTACCCACATTAATATCTTAAGGGTCAAAGGACCATAGTACCATGATATTGGAAAACATGGTATCAAATTATTACTTCTTAGCTATGTTGAGATGCTTATTAAAAGCTAAAGAACAACCCTAGATATGACGGTAGGGTTATTAATCTTGATTTTTGAAAATGTATGTTTACTGGCGCTCGGCATTCCACTAATCACCTCAAGTATAAATTTTTGTATTTTTTTTAACAATCCAAGGATATAATGTAAATCGTAGTTCATAACTATAATCAGAGAGAATTGAAATTCAACAAAAATTGACTCAATTTCCGAACAATCTTCAATGCCTTTAAATTATCAAATTTTTATCTTGATTTTTTATATCTCGTTTAACAATCAGTCTGCGAGTTGATCAGACCGAATTTGAGAGACTGAATGGTAACAGAGGGGTGTTTTGGTTTCTACTATACAAGTTAGAACTCAAAAATGTTAAATGTAAAAATCTACATTTTACTGACAAAACAACTCACATTTCAATAGTGTTTGTCAACTACGATGCAGACTCTAGGTATTGCACAAAATAGTAGAAGAGTTCATGTTTAGGCAGCTACCACACTTAGCTACCTTACAGCAGTAAGTAAGCTTTGTTGAGCTTTACTCAGCTATCTGTATCGACAGAACTCACGAAAACCGTAAAGAAAACGGTTCTATAGGACTGAGGAACCAGAGCTTGTATTCCACAATATATGTGGCCACTATTACGTTTTGGTGGAATTTTGGATGGGGAGGGGGTTGAGATGTACTCCCTCATAGCCTGAAAACTAATGTTCATTGGCTACAATGGTGGGCCAAGATATCGCAAGGAGTTGAAATCTTTATCCAGAATGAAAAAAAGAGAGTACCGGAAAGCTTTATTTGGGAGTCATGCGATCAAACATGTCTCCCTAACTCGCAGACTCGGTTATAAATTTCAAAACATCTAAAATATTTCTCTTGGTATTCATACCTCCAGTAAAATTCAAACAAGACGATCCTTCGAAGTAATGCACCCACATGCTTGTTACGTGACCTTGTACATTTATGATGTAAATATATATAAACCTTGTAAATAAACTAGAATACCTGCTAGAAAAACAGTTTGTCACCAGCAATGACAAAACAGTGCGCGTAACTACTTTGTCAATATACGAAATTACAAGTGGTCTCATCTCTGTGTGCTGGAAATATTACTTACATTTGTATTGTTTCCAATACGTACAGAGAAAACAATAATTAATTATAGGATGATTATAAAGAAAATCCCATATTTTAAAGTGATTATATCTTAAAAACTATTTTTCTTAGGGTAACTAAATCGTCCCCGAGACACATTCAGAATCATAAGATTTATTTTGAAAAATACAGCCAAAAACTGTTACAAAAGATGTTCACTATGCTTTTTTCAATGTCATTCAACGTATGAAACCGGTCTATAAATGGGACAATATGTTCCGGACAGTGTTCATTGATTCTTGCAACTTACACTGTACACTTACAAGCGTTTTCCCCATGTCACCTGTTTCGTATTGTTGAAATAGAGAGAAAGTAAACAAACAAAAACAGTGATAACCTTTTTTTTTCTTTTTTTTTCACAGATGGAAGTACAAAAAAGCAAAAACATCTATACAAAGAAATCAATTTTTTCTCACTTCTTCAATGGACATTAAGACAAGCATTCGCTTTAATATAGATGAAAATAGAAAAAAGTTAAATAAGTCAATAATGTATCTGGTTTGTTTACCTACTACACGAAGATAGAGAATTTGACGTGCCGGGGGGCTAGAAGTCATCTGACATTCGTAGAAACCACTGTCACGCTCCTGAACAAGTTCAATTTTTAATGTCCATTCGTTTGAGTATTCGGTGTGGAAGGCCTTGAATCTATCGTCTGTAGTATAGGTGTATTTCCCAACAGTTAGAACGTGGTAATCAAGAAGACGTACCCATGACACCTGAAATTTAATCCACCAATCAAAATTGATATAATATATACGTAGTAGTTAAAAAGTTGTGAATATTTATTTCTAATGTACACTAATGACAAATCATGAGCTTTAAATCTAGATGAAAGGCTAATTAGCCTCAAACTCCATTTTGTTGTGAGAGAAAATAATAATGTGCGTTAAAATATTTACAATAACATATAAATAGCTCTAAACGAAAGACACCATGAAAAAACAAAAACTGTGAAGTAAATATTTGGACCTTTTTAAATAAAACATTTTACTTATGTATATATTCTAGAATATCAATTAGTTTCTTATGTTGTTTATTTTCATATCATTCTCATTAAATTCTAATAATTCAGTAATCCGTTTTTTGCTCATTCAAACAATTGTTTTTTTTTGTTTTTTTTACAGTAAAATTTAAAAAAAATGCTGAAAAAAAAGACAAACAACAACAACAAACGATAAAGCAAATCCTAAACACTACTTTTGTTAGGAGCCTGGCTATTGTATCTGGTCCGTCTTGAAATTTTTCTTTGTGTCAGACAAAAGAAAAAATATATCTAATGGAAGAGAATCGACTTTATGGCCGGTTTCCGTACGTTTTATAATGAAATAAATCCAACCGACATGGATCATGACCAAAAGTACAATAGAAAATCAAGAAATAGGATATTAAACTGAAATTAAGAAACACACGTTTGATGCTTAGCAAAGATATGACACGCCATATCTTTGTTTATGTTTTAAAATCAAGCAGTAGTAGTGTTTAATTACACGTGTAATAGTAAATTTAATATTAAGAGAAACAATTTAAAATAATTTTATGAACTACTTTTATTTTAACATCAGATTTGTTACAGTCTTGGACTTCGTCGTTAAATCTTCTTCAGATCTAATGAGATAGAGAACTCAGTATAGAGCCTAAAACTAAAACTAAACCAAAGGATTCAGGTCGAGAAAAAGGCACAGTATTTATTTCATTGGCTTCACGTGAATGGCAGGACGTCGTGCGTGTGCGTCATTTGCCTGCACTTAGGTAGTTAAAAAAAGTTAAGTTAAATTCTGGACGTGCCTTTGCAAAGCACATAGGGCCGGTGCTTTCGAACTCATGCTTCAAATTGCACAAGCGGATGAGAATGGTGACCCATTACCCCTGGACAGGATGACAGTCCATCGCAAGTAATTGCAAAGGGCAAAATTGAAATGATTGTTAAACTCGTAAAAATGAGAAAATGAATAAAATAAGGTTTTATAATTCCTCTTGGGTGTAACAAAGAACCAGTGAAAATTTCATGGCGATAACAAGTCTGGAAGCTGGGAATTTTTCATTACAGACAGAAAGAAAATAAGGACAATCCATTTTATAGTATAAATGATTATTCAAATCTGCAAGGTTTTCTCGAATAGAAATAAAAAAGTATGAGTATTTTTTCTTGGAAGATGAATCGAGAAGCAAGTAATAATATTGCAAACAAAGCTTTTGTATCCGAAATGTGAGAGTACATTTCCTCGTTTTTATGTTTACTTTGTGACATCACCAGGGCCTCAAAATTGGTTCAGAGTGTTAAGTTCTATTGCTTCAAATGAAATTTGAAACCTTTCTTCTTCTAAAGTTACTTTTTTAAATGCTTGCATATTCGAGATTTTCACGGTAGTATCTATATTTATTTTAACAAGATATATTTAAATATTAAGACTATCTTATATTTTGTTTTCATTATAGTTGTAGCAATAAAGTGTGGAGCTTAGCAATTGAGTGTGGATCTGAGAATCGTAATTCCAATATTTGAACTAAAGTTTAAGAATTGATCATTGTGATGGGGAAGAGGAGGGAGGACCCTTCTCTTTGCAGGAACTGTTTTCACTGAGAATTGTAACTTCAATATTTCAATACAATATTTATTTCTGAGAAAACATCTTTTGCCTGACTTTGTTTCCCATAATCCAGTTTCCTTTTTCAGTGTTGTGGCGTTTTACTCTTTCTGATTTTTACGACAACATTTTAAACGTTTATGAATTAATAGATGATGTCTACAACAAAATTAAAATGTGACATAATTAACTCAAAGAGCACTCATTGAGAGTCAACGTCTATTTGCCTTCTCTCCTGCTATAAACATGCTTTAAAATTAAGTTATTGAGCTTTACATATGTTATTAGACCTAATCTTTCTATTGCTAAGATTTTAAACGAATATATATGGCCAACAGGTATAGTTTTACCGCCAATTTCCAATAAATTATTGTAAACTCAAGCAGGTTTATTGGTTTCAAGTAGTGTATACTAATAAATGTGTTCCAAAGACAACAATGACCCTGATTAGAAACTGTGTTAGTATAAAGTAACTAGTACCAAACTCGGTAACGTAGTGATTAACGCAGTGTAGTTTGACAGACTTGATATATTGTTTACTTAGATCTCATCAGAGTTAGCAACTAAATTTTTCAAGAATAGAGAAGACTACCGACTATCCTAATCTTTCTATTGCTAAGATTTTAAACGAATATATATGGCCAACACGTATCAAACAAATCTATACCTAATAATGTGTATTTTAGCTTTTATATAGTCTTTTAACACTTACAAAGAAGCCAATATAACACAAGGAATACTTATGTAAAATAATATAAAAACTATGTTCTGTTTAGTCATGCCTGAAAATTCTTTTTTGTGATTGTCATTTTTTTGAATACCCTAGTTGACGGGGCTTATTTTTTCTTTGTAAAAATAGTTTGTTCTTTGAGGCTTGATCATCCCTTGTGTCCAAGTTAACAGAAGTAGTTTTGGTTTGGATTAATAAAAAGTTCAAACAAGTTTCTTGAATTATTCATAAACTCCTCTTGAATATTTTGCATGAATTGGTAATCGTTTCTTCAACAAGCTTTAGGATATTTATATTCTGCTTCTGACATGGAATAAATGAAGGAGTAATAAGTCATTACGCTTTATATTATACCTAAAAACTTCCATCAATATTTAAATGTACAGAAAAACAACTGACCATAAGCGAGCTATTTTTAGTTCTAGTGAATACTATCAGGTTATGTACCCATTTTGAAAGTCAAATATGCCCCCAAGATCAAATTTTTGAATAAGTTATAAACCTATGCATTATATAGTGTTTTGCACTAAAAACACGAATTCGTGCTCTCTAAAGTAAGTTTGTCTGTGTAGAAGAAACCTTTAAAACAGTAAATAACACATACACGATGAAGGTTTTTTTGTTGATGCTAATTTGCTCAGTTGGTAAATAATCAACCAAAAACAATTAGAGAGATACACATTTTATTAAAACTGAAAAATATATATATACGGGTTAAAATTATTTATGGTAGAAACAGTAGAATATATTAACTTTAGGTTTCAGTTTACGAGGAGACAATCTGTCTGACTAAGGTGATATAATGAACAAGTCCATTTTTCACAATGATGTGTCACACGTACAATATGGTAAGAAACATCTATAAGTTCCATATATCACTGAAATTACAAAAGATAATATAAGATAATAACCTGTACGTTCACCTAAGCCCAATTACAAATTATTTACTATGAATATATTTCGTATTATTACAGTTACAATTACTATTTACCAATAGTTTATATTACACATTTCAACTGAGAAAGACTGTATGTGATGACAGGAGACGGAATTCCATCCTAAGTGTTCTATTAACTCTTTGGGTTTTATCTAATTTTAGTTTTTGATAACTTTAGTATCGCTGTCACTGTAGTGTTTCTCTTTAAATTACCGATTCAATGGGAGTTGTATTAAAAAAACACAAAGAAAATTGACGATAGAAATCAGAAAAAACGGTACAAAAATTGGAAAAAATTTTAAATATTAAATGAAGAATATTATTAGCTAATGAAATTACTTATCTAATCACATTTAATATATCAAAAAATTTCCCCAAAGAAATAGGAGAGTCATGTAAACTCATTAAAAGCTTTGAAAATTTGATTTAACTTAAAAATTGTAATACAGCAAAACACTTACACGTCAAGGGTATCGAAATCTGTTTTTTAGCGTTATTAATCGCCAGACTTACCACTGTGTCACTGGGGGGAGCAGGTAAATTTGTGCATCATTGACTAGGAAAACACCAAAATAAGAAGTTAATGTGTAATATACATTGCTACACTATTTTAAAAGCACCAAGTTTCACACACTAACTACAAATAATAGGTATAACAAGTTGAACGGCTAATCTCATTGTTAGTGATAAGTTTCTGTTATAGGTTGGAGGTGGTTGTTTATCAAGTATGAAAAGCTGTGCCGTAAGTGATGACAATTATCGTGCCCCAGGGTTGCTCAGCCGTATGTCAGCGGGGCTATAACGCTCAAAATCGGGTTTCGATGCCCGCTATGAGCAGAGCACAGATTGTGTAGTTTTATGTTTTACAACATACAAACAGACGATTATTGTAAATATCTAAAGCAATATGCCACAAGAGAGAAAATACGTATAGACTTTATTTGCCTACTGTCTCGACACACCTGTCGTACACTAATATTATCCTTCTACGGAGGCTCTGATTCCTCTTCTTACAACGCTATTGTTAATATGACAAAAAAAAAGAAATATAGTTATCAGTAGTGACAAATAGTGTAGAGCATTTCTACGTATTGTATATGAAAGAAAGAAAAAACATGTTCTTTTTAAACCGTTTGAACAGAATGTAGATATTTTTAGACGCCTTTTCTGGTGTAAACTTTAATATATTTCAAGGTAATTGACTTTCGTGCTTATTCTGTTATTGTAACTGATTGCAGAGCTAACTCCAATAAGTTTCTTAACTAATCCAACTCAGCAATGACTATCACTTAGAACAAAAATAAAAATAGCAAGCCCTAGAAGCTCAATGTGCTTGATGTAAATAAATTTATATCTATAAAGTGTTTCTTTATCAACTGTTATATATATATTATGTGTCAAATATTTCTTCAGGTCGAAAATTGAGTTTTTCCTTTTATGTTATAATAAACGTCTTGTAACGTT